CAAAAATGAATGCTAAAAATTGTCTTCACATGTAATTGAAAAAGATAAGATACTATTTTAAAAAAAAGACTTTCTATACATTATCATTTTTGATCCTCACAACAATATAGCGGGTTAGGTAAGTACAATTTTTTTTTACTTGGACTTGTGATTTCATCAGTATAAGGAACTCCTTCTCCCAATGTAGATGTCAATTGTCCTGCCATTTAGAGAGATCCCTGGGGCTCTGAGCACTTCAGCGACTTGGCCAGGATGACACAGCCACACAGCTTCAGAATTTGAGCCCAGGTCTTCCTGATTACTAGGTAGTTTTCTTATCTTCAATATATTAAGTGACTTGACAAAATGTCACATGCGAAATTTGACCCCATGTCTCCCTGACTCCAAGTCCAGCACTCGATTCACTATGTCATGTTGCTCTTCTATCCAATTCTCATGGCACGCTCCTATGACAGATTGGCTGTCTGGCCTTTTAAGCTCACTGGAAGCTCTTATGGTAGTTTTCCTGCTTTCTCCCAAGACGACGAAACAGCAAAGTGTGGTGGAAAGACTGTGAGGTTTTTAGTCAGAGCACCTCGCCTTGAATTCCCACATCTCAACTTACCATGCGTCCTTAGGCTAGTCACTTGACTTCTCTTAAGCCTCATTTGTATAATGAGGGATATATTCCAGCTCTAAATCAATGGTCCTGTGCTTTAGGAACAATATTTTGGATTTCCTAGCAGCATTCATTGCAATTTGTGTTGAGATTTCAAGAGCAGGGAAAACAGTAAATCAACAAGTATTTATTAAGCACTTACTGTTTTGGGCTACACACCAAGAATACAAATACAAGCAGAAAGAAAGACAATCCCTCTCTCCACAAAAGCTTCCATTTCAGTGGGGGCAGAGGACACACGTGTCCACACATATGCATCTCAGTGGAAACCTTCCATTATTTATTCATCACTTGTCCTAAAGTGATGTAGACCAGAGATATCTGGTGAGGTCAAGGTTGCTGGTTAGGCTGGCCTTTAGAATCTCTGAGGGTAAGGGAGATTTAGAGCCCACAATCAATGTGTTGCTTCATTGAAAGACTAGTTGGGGCCCACCTGTCTCCAATCCAGGCAAAACAGGACTTAGAGGAACAAATAAGAGTCTAATATCTGAGGTTTCTGTAGGAACTCCAGATAGGGCTTGGGATCCTACAATGAGACCTTGGTGTCTTGGGAAAACTCAAGCTGTTGGACCCATGGAACCACTATATACCAAGAAGATTCATCTTCCTGAGTTCAAATACAGCCTCAGACACTCATCAGTTTTGTGATCCTGGGCAAGTCACAGTTCTGTTTGCTTCAGTTTCCTCATCTGTAAAAATGAGCTGGAGAAAGAAATGGCAAACCACTCCAGTACCTCTGCCAAAGAAATCCCAGATAGGGTCATGAAGAGTTGTAAAAAGACCGAACAACAACTATACAGATATATGTTGTATTATAAGACTATATTAAAATCCACTAAATTTTCATTTTATGTGTTTATTTTATGCTTTTAAAACATTATTCTAGAGAGGATTCTGCCTCGTCAAAGGTCTCACCAAGCTGCCAAAGGTTAAGAACTCCTTCCTAGAGGATGTTTGGACTCTAAAAAGAGGACATACCCTAACTATTTTCTTCCCATAGGGAAACTAGTTGGAGTCTGGTGAAAAGAGGTCAGAAGCATAGGAAAGCCAAAGAATCGGGCCCCCAAAGCATTGCTTTTCAGTTGTAGCTTGACAATTAGCACTACGGAAGAAGAGCTAGATTGAATGACAGAAAGAAGGAATTGAGTTTGGGGATACAATTTTCAATGGGAAAGGCTGCCTCCAATGAATGGAGACCCCGGCCTAGATGGTGGAAAGGCACTAAATCTTGGTCATTTCCCTCAGTCAGGAAACCCAAGCCTCCTCAAGCTTCCTACTTCTCTGCCCCTTCTGTCCCTGTGGCCATTCATTAGGAACAAGGTTTCTTGAGGCATCTTCCAAAGTAGGCCTGGTGCTTGTAACCACGGCAGGGCCCATTTCTCTTTCTGGAGAAGCCAGAGTGATTGTGAATTAGACAGAGTCTGGAGCACTGATAATAGGATTCCTTTTTTCTCTCTCCTGGAGTGAGTAGCTGTTCTCCGTGCTTTTCTGTTGTAGAGCTTAAAGCAGAGAGGTGGAGCCTGTGCACTGGGGTTGGAGAGCAGAGGTTATGGGGGCAGAATCTGAAGGGTTTCTTGTTTTTATTGCTTTCCCAAGTGACTCAGGATGTGGCCTGGCCTTTTCAGGTCACTGGGAGAAGCAAGCACCCTGTGAGATGAAACAGTCTCTGTCTCTGTTAATGCAAACCAAGTACCTGCTTGAAAATTTCTTTTCTATAATAGGCAGCATTTAAGGTGGAATTGTAGATAGTGACCTACAACATGCTGTGAACACTCAAAAAGCCTTTTGAAAACTACCAACCCCAATAGTCCTCTCTTTCATATGCCTAGAACCAGTTCAGACCATCTGATTGTTAAATTTTAGTGTGAGATTTACACCTCAAAAATCACTACAAATCAGGACTTGATTTCTCCTTTTGTTGATTGCCCAGACTTATGAAAATGAAGAAGAAAATAGTAATAATTCAGATTAAACTTAAAAGGGTATCTTGTTTATATTTTGTGTTTTATTTTTCAGAGAGCCAGTTGTTAAACATTAGCCAGCACACCCCTGCTTAGGACCCATGGGGCCTGATGTCCAGCTGACTAGTCAAGTTATCATTGTTCTCTATTCAAGCTGCACACTAAGGAATGTACCCAAGGACCCAAGAACTAAAGTTTAAAGGGGCTCTCGAGGTCATTAAGTCCCTGGAACACTCTCTTTCTTCTGCTCTACCCACTGACTTTCTTGCCTTCCTTTAAGTCCCAACTAAAATCCTACCTTCTACAGAAAACCTTCTGCAAGCCCTCTTAATTCCAGTGCTTTCATTTCCTATATATCCTATATATATAGCTTGTTTGTATATACTTGTATGCATGTTGTCTCCCCCATTTGATTGTAAGCTCCTTCAGGGCAAGAACTGTCTTTTGCCTCTTTGTGTATCCCCAACTCTTAGCACAGTGCCTGACACATAGTAGGCACTTAATAAATGCTAATTAAATTGAAGTAAACCCCCTCATTTAACAAATAAGAAAAGTGAGGCACAGAGAGGTGAAATTACTTCCCTAAGTCTACTCAGGCAATAAACATCAGAAGTGGGATTTGAACCTAGACCCTCTGATGCCAGAGCATGTGCTCTTTTCATCTGACAACCTAAATGGGTGATGCTTCTGTTTGACTGTTCTGCTCACAATCTCCCTATGGATGGACAGGCACAGAACGCAATCCTGCCTCACCTACATGTTACTATATGGATGGATGGATGGATGGATGGATAGATGGATGGATGGATGGATGGATGGATGGATGGATAGATGGATGGATGGATGGATGGATGGATGGATGAATAGGTAGATAGACAGAGAGAATAAGACAGATGGATCGATGGATGAATGGCTAGATCGATCATATAGGAAGGATGATAAATGAGAGATGGATAGATGATAGGCAGATAGATGGATAAATAGATGGATGGATGGATGGAAAGATAGATGATAGGTAAGGAATAGATTGATGGCTAATAAGATAATAGATGGGGGATAGATAGATAGATAGATTGTTGTCTTTGTCCTCAAAAAGGACCAAAATAACATCACTATATTGGAGTTAAGTTACAGTGTGTCCGACTGTGACTGATCAGACCAACATGAGTTCGGAAGGCTCTATGACAGATTGGGCACAAATAGTCCACATGAACACTAGGAGTGGAGATATCTAAATTTACACATCTCACAATTCTTTTGAGTTACTGCGCCTTTTTTGATGCAATGAACCCACAGATTTTACACTGTACATGTTCACTCAATCAAATTTAATAAGCACATGCTATGTGACAAGTGACGTGCTGTGTGCTGGTGATGCACAGAATCAGAGTCAAGGATGAGCCAGGGTGGCACACCCCACAGTCACGATGGAGGAAGCCAGACACTCACATGGTGAGTCTACAAACACTAGGAGGTGCCAGCTAAGATTCATTGCCCGAATCCTGGAAAAGAACCCAGCATTCTGCAGGCCACATGGAGAGGAGATATCACTAATCTGCATTGAAAGGCAGTGTAGAGCACTGTCAGGAATGGCGACAAAGGCACGGTGACCTCTCTGTCAATTCCTTAGACTGTCACTAGTGGTGTCACCCTGGGAGAGTTACTTAATCCCTCTCAGCCTCAGTTTCCTTATCTGAAAAACAAGGATAACAATAATTCATACATCATACCATTGTTATGAGGACCAAATGGGATAATAATATGTATGAAGTTCTTTGCCAGCCTTAAAGGTCAATATTCACTACTATTACAGTTAATAGCACACTTTTAAACTGGTAGCTCCATTAAAATCTGCCCCATAAAGTCAGGGGCTCCCTGAGGACAGGGATCCTACCTTCCCATTAGCCCGGGGGCTCCCTGAGGGCAGTGTGAGGAAAGGGGGAACAGGATCTCTTCCCTACATCTCTCCTCCAGAATGAAGTCTCCCTGGTGATCCTTTCAGATCTAAGAATTTCTAGGTTCAATGAAAATTAGGAAGGCAACTGGGTGGTCGTTGTTGAGCCAGCCCATCTCTGGGCCTCTGAGACAGTACTTGGTGATGACTGTGCTCTGAGGTGCCCTGACCTCACTACAGACTTTGTTTCACTTCCTCTCTCATATCTGCTAGGCAGGGAAAGCTTCAGCCTCATAACAGACACAGCTGGTGATGACAAGAGGGGGGCAGGGCCTCAGAAGAGCCAACTCTGGCCTTGGTGGGATTAGAGGATAGGGAACTATGATATATACATAGGAGGCCTCAATTCCCATGTAGGCAGTGCCTGGGACACAGGACGTGGGGCCAAAGCCTCCCCCAGTGGGAGTGTGGTTGACAAGGAAGCCACCTTCTGAAGATTATGGAGTGTCAGAGAAGGTGGATATGGTTCTCCTCAGCCTGGCTTCTCATTCTGGGGGTATTTGCTTTGAGAGAGACCCAGGCAGGTAAGTCTAGAGGGGAAGAGGTCAGGTAGAGAGAGACCATGGGGATTTGTGTCTGATGGGAGAAATTCAGTCACTTTGCTCAAGGGGCTTCAGGTAACCCAGGCAGTCAGTCAACAAGCCTTTATTGAACAATTTATATGCTGCAGCCAATTAGTGCTCTAAGTGGTAGGGATACCAAAAGATAAATCAAATAAAACCTGGTCCCTGCCTCCAAGGAGCTTGCACTCTAATGGGGGAGACAGCAACTCAGCTAAAAGATACCTACAAGACACATACAGAGTAGGCGAAAGGGAGCTTTGGAGAGGAAAGCTCTGGCAATTGTGGGCACCAGCAAAGGCTTCCTGAAGATGGCATTTTTTCTGAGACTTGAAGGAGTCCAGGGAGGCCAGGAGGTGGAAGTAAGGATGGAGAACATTAAAGGCACAGGGAACAGTGAGGACAAAGGTGGGGGGTGGGTGGTAAAGTGCAAGTGTGGGGAACAGCCAGTAAGCGGCTATTGGGTAGTTGGATGAGTGGAGGGGAGTAAAGTATAATACTCTCAATTAGAATGACTGGAAGTATTCATCCTCTGAAAGGTTTTACATGCTGAGCAAAGAACCTTACCATGGAGAAAAAAGAGAGATGTTAGAGTTTATTAACTAGGAGAGTGAGATAGTACGAGCAGTGCCTTAGAAAAATCATGTTGGCAACTGAGGGAAGGATGGATGGAAGAGGGAAGAGGCTTGAGGTAGGGAGATCAGTGAGGAGGCTGTTGTAGGTGAGAGGTAAGAGGGCCCAAGCAAGGGTCAGGGCTGTGTGAGTGAAGAGGTTGGCATGTATGGGAGACCAATAAGAGACCTGAAAGGTCATATGGTCCAACATTGTCATCTTACATATATGGAAACTGAAGCCCAGGGAGGTTATGCGACTTTCCCAAACTCACATGATTAGTATTAGAAGTGGGATTCAAACCTAGTTCTTCTGATTTCAAAGTCAATGCTCTTTCCACTACTCAACATAAATTCTCTACTATGTGGGAGGCATTATAGTAAGCACTCCCTTCTCCTAAGGAACTTGCATGATTGGACATAAATAATCATTACATGTATAATCAAATACAAATTAATTTTTGACTGGGGCAAGGCACTAGCAGCTGTAGGAATTAGGGAAAACTTTGTAGAAGGTGGACCTGGAACTGTAGTTTAGAGAAAGTTGGGGATTCTCAAAGCTGGAAGTGATGAGGGATCACATTCCAGGCTGGGTAGACAGTCTCAGCAAAAACCTGCAGGATGGAATGATGAGTGTGAAGAACGGTAAGTGAGCCAGTTTGACTGAAATATTGAATGCATGAATGGGAGGGCTATGAGATGAGCCTCCAAAGGCAAGCTGGACCCAGTCAATGCCATCAGCTGGAAAAATTTGTATTTTATCCTAAGGCCTCAGGGGGTCACTAGATCTATTTAGAGAAAGGGGATGATGAACTTTAGGAATAGAAAATGGAAAGATTGGGGAGGACTGATTGGAGAGGGGAGAGATCTGAAGAAGGGAAGGAGGAAATTGCAAAAGTCCAGGTGAGAGGGGATGAGGGTTAGAACGAGGGTGAGGAATGTGTAAATGGAGAGAAAGAATTGGATTTGAAAGAAGTTGTGAAGGTGAAATCAGTAGGACTTGGCCACTGGTCAGATA